TTACCCATCAAGGAGATTACAACATTTCATGGTTTCTGCTATGGACGAATTGGATAGATAACCTTGATGGTTAGGTCATCAACAGGCATTTGTGAGAGCCAAGAATGACCAGCTTTACATATTATGCCTGAAGGACTGTCATGAAACAGGAGAAAATGGCTCTGATCTTACCAACAGTAGTTGATTTCTGAAGGATACTGATACAGTGGAAGACAACTTCAGTCTTCATATGACATACGATAGATTAGAATGCCTAAAGTGCTGGTGAAGGTGGCTATCCAGAAAAGTCAAACAACTTGGATACTAGAAAGCTCAGTAAACCACAATAGCCAAGGAACTCCCAGGCTATTGATGCAGTGACAGATAGAATCCTCAGTCTCACTAACCAATGTGAAACCATTCCCACGCAGCCACTTTTATGTCAATTGAACCCTGTATTGCCACTGTCAAGGGTGCTCTCATCCTCTTTTCTGTTGGGAGCTGCTTGTTCTAGCATGTTTCTTGTGTTGAGGAGTGAGTCAAATAAAGGAACTTTTTTTGGCTGAAAGCTAAGGTAGAAAGATTTGCTATTAACTGGGCTATTTCTACAGTTTGTGAAAATAAGAAGTTGGAGTGACATCCTAGGGCCTTCCTGAAAACTCAGTTTGAAAACAGAAAAGATGAGATGTTTGCTATTGTTGCACAGTTGAGTGAACCTAAGCTATGGACAGGAGAGGAAGCCAAAAGAGAAGCATAATGCCCAGTCACTGTCATAGGGGATCTTGACTTGATAAGCTAGAGCTGGTGCACATATTAGGTTTTTCAATATTAGAAGTTACTTAAATACAAATGACAGAAGAAAGCAGAAGATGACAGAAGTGCTTTTTGTTGCTGATCAGTGTCATTGTGATCAAGAAGACTGGGATTTTTCCTTATCCTTTTTCTTAACTTGTCTTGAATTCTCAGTGAGCCCTGAATAAAAATGCTTGAATCTGTAACTTTTGTGTAGATGCTTCCATGAGAGCTAAGATCAATGGAGAGTCTTCACAGTTAGTGAAGACCAAAGAACTACTCATCAGTTTTTAATTTGGTCAAATATTGGTATGGATTAAAGGGAGAGCTGAACAGTTCTCTAGATTCTCTTGACTAAAATGATTAGACCTCCATTATATATAATGACAGTTTACATGTTTCGTCCATACATTTGTGCTTATTTTAGGTACCTTAATCTGCAAACTAAATTTTTATCCCAAGAGATTAATAAAGATTAAGGCTGCCTTCACTACTGTTGAGGAATACTTTATTTTCCTAAGTAAACACTTCATTTTATAAAGGCTTCCAAACCAACACCATGATTTCTGCATGATAAAATATTCTGCTGCTTGTCAGTCTGATACTGAGATTTTACAACTTAGAGCTCAGAGGGTTTTGACTGAATGTAAACCTTTGGCATTGCTGAGTGTCCATAATTGTATGTGTCTCCATGGCAACTACAGGAGAGAAAGTATGGATGTATAATCCTTCTTAAGTAATACAATGTTATGTTTTTCTTGGTAGACAAAGACATTCTAGCTAGTCAGAAGCATATTAAACAGCCTGTGAATATCAAAGTTGCACATATACTCCTTATCAGCAGAATGGAAATTGTTTTAGAATTGTAGTGTGTGGCAATAATACTTCAGAAATATAAATAAAAAATTTCTGGAGCTTCTGTTTTGAATAAAGGTTGGCAAACTAACTTTGGAAAAATCATTTTGGTAAAATCTCCTTTCTCTTAATTTATGGTTTAATAGAAAGGTCCTAATTAATCATGGGATTCCAGTTGCTTACCAGAAAAAGGACTAAACTATTCCCTGACTAATCAAAGTAGAATTTACACCCTTTTAATGTGCTATATTCCTACGTGATAGCCTAAACATGTTCATGTAGATGTTTTTGTATAATGCAAATGATTAAAGAGCCAACATGATATTGGTGATTCAGCTGTATTCTTTAGTAGGTTTTTTTCTCATGTTCTTGTTTCTTTCATTATATTTGGTTATTTTTGCTTAGAAAAAACCTAGAATATTTTAGACACAGTTATGACAGTTATTTAAAAACCAAAATATCTGGACAGCATTTTTCTTTTATACTTTCCAGCTTTCATCCTCTGAATCTTGGTAGAGGCTGCAGGAACTGTAAAACCCTTGCCTTATTGACAAAAAACAGCAGAAGTTGCACACTTCTGCAAGCAAAATTAAACCCAAGGCACAATTTGGCACTGATGCTTAAGTAAAACATGCTTTGTATGCTTAGTCCCTCCAGCACTCGGGGTCTATGGGCATATGTATCTGGATAGAAAATAGCTGTACCTGAAGAGACAAACTTGAAAAACAAAAGCTATTTTGCTGTAAAAGAGAAAAAAAATGTTTAGAATGCAGGCCACTTTGTTTCTAAACGGAATGGTTTTTTCCAGTTTTCCATGAGTTTTCAGCAGCTTCCTAATTGGACATACAAACTGAAGAAGGAATGCAAGCATAGATTCTGATCCCACAGCAATTTTTTTTCACCAACTGCTGGCCCACAGAAATTTGGCATCAGTGGTTCCCAGCCATGAAAGTAATCCATTGAGTGGAAATTTTTTTTCCTGCCTTTTTTTTTTCCCTGTTTTTTTTTGTTCCCATCTACAAGATACATTTGGTATTTTTGATGTCCTTCACAATGTCAGAGACTGAATATGCTTAGCACAGTTTCTATTTAAAGAAATAAGACTGGGAATCCTCAAGTTAGTATTTTCTGACAACATTACTCTGCATGGGTTTTTATGGTTTTTTTCTCCCTTCCCTCAGCCATGGGGGTGGGGTGTGGGGCAAGAAGCTAATTAAATAAATGTACAGTCGCTGTATTTTGTCCAACAACTTCCTTATGAATCCAACAGAGATAAGAATGAGGCTTTAGGTCCTGAAGAACTTAATCCTGAGAAATCTGTCATGGTAGGGCCCTCATTGTAAACAAGGAAAAGCCCAGTGCCAAATTATGCAGCCTGCATGTACTGTGCCATTCCTGGGTACATTCATAACCTGTAGTCATGGAATCAGAATGATCTAGTCTGGTGCTGTGCCTTTTGCCAGTAATTTATCTTCAAAAGGAAAAGGCTAGTCTGATATACTGAATAATTCTGTGCCAGATTCAGGGCTAGTTGCTTTGTTCTCATTTTAAGTGTTGCTCTGGCAGTGCCACAGTATGTTTCAATATGTCAAGTTCACTGGTTCAGTAATTGTGATGATAAACAACAAGTATAAAGCTACTTAGTAATAAATATGTAAGCCTTTAGTAGTTTTAACAATGCTTTTAGAAATATACTTGTGGCGCCTTTGTATAGTACTTCTAGAGGGCTGCTTGGGCTGGAAAGATCATCCACTTCTGATGTAATTAAATTAAAATCTCTAAGAAACCTGTGGATCTGGAATTCTGTGTGTAGGAGGGAGTGAGCTGGATGTAATTCAAATATCATCCTTCAACAAACACTCAAAGAACTTGTATAAAAGTATCCATGAGTGCTCTTTGCTCTTTTTAGTGGAATCTGGCTTCTGGAAAATAAATCAATTATGGAAAAGAGCATTAACATAGGACAGAGGAAGAAACCTTGGAAATAAAGGGCATGTCCATGCCTAGATGGCTTAACCTACTACACTATTCCCATAATCTATCCGGATATAGAGGAATTGTGGCTATAGGTGCCGTATCCGTCTATGTTGAAACTTGTAAGAGATTCCATTTTGTCAGCTGAATAATCAATGAAAATTCCATTCAGACGTCCCAGTTTATTCACCTCCTGGCTTGGATTTACCATGTGGTGTGGGGCAGAAGGGAAATTTCCAGTTAAAGTGCCCCAAAGCTCAAACATGCTTTTTGAGAAGTGCCTCCTGGTGGACAACAGAATGTCACTTAAGCTATATCCTGTATGCTGTGATGGCCTGTGAGCTTCATCTGAGAAGTATCTGGGTTTATTTTGGTTTTTTTCCCATATGCTCCACCATCATGTTAGAGATCTGTGGAAGTACTTAAGTGACATTCCTCACAATTTCTAAAGAAAACTCTGAAATATTATCTTCATGGTTCACTGTAGAATTTTGAACTTAACTTCCTTTGTTGATCAGCCACAGTAGCACTTGATAACCTTATAGATATGGCACAAAGCCCCTATTTTCCTTTACTTGAAAGGTGGTGGGGAAAATAAAATTAAGATTAAACATTATTTTTTTACTGCACCACTGTATAATGCATGATTTTGCACAGCCAATTTAAATAGTGTTAGTGATGTAAGTATATGTGGTGTGCTACAGAGGATGTATGATTTAACTGTAATAATAAGATTTTTATTTGGGGTTTTTCCTCTGAAGACAGCTCAGAAAAATCTCTGAGCTTCCCAAAACCACTCAACTCTTTCCAACCACAATGTTACAGAGCCCTTTCATCATCCAGCATACGGTACTGTACAACACAAAAATATACACTGTACTACTTTAAATTAATTCATATTTGCAGGAGACACAGTCTGTGTGAGTATGTGCAATTATGAAATGTAACTTTTTTTCCCCTTGACATTTTTAGCTGCCTCACCCCTTTTATTTGAACACATACATATGGTGTGTGAGAGTGAGCAAGCTCTCTGTAAATGTTTGGAAGGAGCATCTGTCAGACAATAAAACTTACAAGAAAACATGTTTCTCATTTAAAGTGTATTCACTAGAACTATGTCAGTGTTGGAATCAGTTCATTTGTATAGCTTGGAGGCATTAATAAGAGCAGAGAACTGTAAAGGCACCAGAAAACTCAAACTGTTACTAAGAATCCAAGGTATTTTTTAAAAGCATTTTGTCTTTTCAGCATCTCAGTCTTCTGATAAGGAACCTGAACCAGTTGGCAGACAGGAGACCTCTTCTAGTCCATCCAAAGAGATTGCAAACAAGAAGATGGCATGATTTTTGCAAACCTGGAAAGCCTAAAGATTGCAATAATTGTTGGACCAAAGGGACCCTCTTCAGGCATAAATAGCAAGACTCCTACTGTCTTCTCTTGCAGACCAACTCAGCTGCCAGCAAAAGCAGGTGCTCTCCCCCAACCAGTGCTCCAGAGGAATATTTAGTGAGTATTCACAGATATTTTTACAAATTAATATATTATTGGTGATTTAGTTCTGTTTTTACAGTTTTCTCCAAGGACAAAAACATTTAAAAATCAGCTTTTAAGGCTGTTATTTTAAACAATTGCTGGGGTTCAACAGTCTGATGCAATTACCATATTAATTTAAAAACAAAATTTGCACAACCTATGGCAGTAACTTTTAAAAAAATATTAGATTTTTTAGAACTGTGCAGTTTAAACATTCTAAAGGAGTTACAATGTATTTTTAATCCACATTATGACAGCAAAGTAATTTATATAAATATGAAATGTACTTGACTTTAAATGTTATGCTATTAAACAGCCTTTGTAGAACACAAATTTAAAATAAATAATTTCTTTTGGCAAAGTAACCTGCAATTTAATCTTTAGAAGAATAAATATACCACTAATGTTTTCCACAGAAACAGTTGCTACTCTAATTAAATCAAGATGTGACTCTAATCAGATTTCAAAAGAAAATCAGGAACAGATTTTTCTCAAAGGCTGTACTATGGACAAGGATAAGATATTTCTATTTTCATTAGAAACAATTGTCCCAGGTAAAGTTAAAGATTTGTGGTATATAGCATGAAAACAACAAATCTGAAAGCATGTAATGTTTTTAGAGGCATAACAATTTTTGTTTCAGATATCTGCTTTCTTTTTGGTTACAACTTATGGTACATTACATTTTATTAGGTAACTGTTATTAATTTTTTAGTTTAGAGTGACTAATATGGCTAACATTATTTTTCTTTTTGTGTGGAAGGGAATGGAAAACCTGATGTTTGTCTACTGCTCCTGCAAAGTTATCTGGACAGTACTCGTAGCAATACTAGGTTATGCCAGCAGCTTGCCTGTGGGGGATGATTCTATTTGCACAGCAGAAGAACTTGCTAAGTACAGGATAATCTTCACAGGGAAATGGAGTCAGACTGCTTTCCCTAAGCAGTATCCACTCTACAGGCCCCCAGCACAGTGGTCATCCATGCTAGGTAAGTGAAGTATGTACTGTCTTAAGAACAGATCAATCACTTGACCTCTGATCATTTTTTTGTCTTAATATTCAATTTTAAGACAACTACAGCAAAAGAACAGCCAAAGTTATTAAGAATGAAATGCAGAAATTGAAGTATCCACAACTGTTTTCAATTGACTTCTGTTTTCAGTTGGCTGCAGCTGAAACAAACAATGATAAGCCAAATGTTTTAGTGTTCACTCAATTTTATACACATTTTTTTAAACCTCAGAAATAGAGAAAATGAAGAAATAGGGACATTTTATGACTTTTATGTCATGCCATGTATTCACTCAAATAGGTGTTACTCATAGTTCTGACTACAGCATGTGGAAAAAAAATGAATATGCCAGCAATGGTGTACGTGATTTTGCTGAAAAGGGTGAAGCATGGGTATTAATGAAAGAAATAGAAGAAGCTGGAGAGAAAATTCAGAGTGTACATGGAATCTTCTCTGCTCCTGCAATTTCCAGTGGTACAGGACAAACCTCTACTGAATTAGAAGTGCATCCAAGACATCCCTTAGTAAGTAAACACACACATTAATTTCGAAAGTTTATTTTATGTCACCAGAATCTGAAATTAAATATTTGAGTTCTCACTTGTAGGAACAATGTAATGCAAAGGGTTGCTAAAGAGCATGTCACATTGCAGGGAGCACTGTACAGCTTTTATAAAATAGAAGAGCATAATACATTTTTTGAAAAATTTTAACTTAAAATTACTATATGTAGGTCCAAAGCATTCTAGAATAAGTGATGTAATCCTAATGGATCATTTTGTTTCATTAGGTTTCATTTGTTGTACGAATTGTTCCAAGCCCCGACTGGTTTGTGGGTATTGACAGCCTAAATCTCTGTGAAGGAGATCACTGGATGGATGAAGTATCAGTAGATCTATTTCCATATGATGCTGGAACTGATAGTGGATTCACATTTTCCTCCCCAAACTTTGCCACTATTCCACAGGATACAGTTACAGAGGTAGGTGTACATACATATCTTAGCACTTCATACAGGTATGTTTTGAGTCTTCCCTTTAGAAGATAACTATTCTATAATTATAAACCTGATTTCAGTATTTGAGAGTGCTGATGCTCTCTACATATGGATTTATTACACAGCTGATAAACCTCCTGCTTTTGTTTATTTTCTGCATCTTTGAAATGTATTAGGTAAATGCAGATGCTTCATGAAATGTTTTCTCTACATTTTAATTATTTTCTGGAAAAGCTGACAATCCTTAAAGGACTAGGAAAATGAAAATACTTGCAAAAGTCATGGCATTACTAAATATGTATCTAAACAGGAAAATTCTTAGTAGTGAATACTGATGTGAGGAGGAGTTTCAGTTGAGAGCACTGCTGAAGCCTAAGCTGTTCCATTTGAGGGAAAGGAGCTAAGGGAAAGCAGAGAACTTCAGCACTAATGTGGTGACCCTATGTTCAATCTCTGTTGCCTGTTTGATCCTCTATATGCTTCATATTTTGTTTTTGACATTTAAGAGTGGTGGAGAATGGAGGATTTTGATTCAAATGTTTTGAATACTCTAACTATTCAGTTAATCCTTTCTAAAAGGTCAGTTTATCTAGTGACAAATACTGTGCTAATGTGTAATGAGAAAAGGAACAGCAAAGCTGGAAAACAATACATTTGGCCTCTTATCTCCATATGATAGCTGCTATAGCATACTTAATATTATTATTCAATACTCTTGTACTCTTCTTGTAATAATATCCAGTCTTTTCCATCAAACTATTTCATATATTACTATATTTTTGATATCTCTCACCACAGTTCTGTATCCAAAGGCTGACACGGTACATTTTGCCCAGTCTCAAAGTATCCTGCATAAAAATTCTGGGATCACCAGCAGTACTTATGTGAACTGAGGTTCACAGAAACTGCAATCCACTTGCCAAAAAGTATCAGCATGACGTATAAGCATGATTTTACAGTTATCTTCCTACTAATATGATGTAGTTTATTCAACATTCCTCTTTTTATTTCACAGATCACTTGTTCCTCTCCAAGTCACCCAGCAAACTCATTTTATTATCCAAAACTCAAAATTTTGCCACCTATTGCTCAAGTAACAATGGTGAAACTAAAGAAAAGCCAGCTGGGTCTTTCTGCGCCTTATATTAATCTTCCAGCTAAAAGCAATGAAATAATAGACTCTGTCTCAGGTAAGTGACTAATACATTGGTGTTCTCAATTCTGTTATTTCCATTCACTCAGAAAATACGTGGAAATCTGGCAGGTGATGTGGATTGAACAGGTGATCAGGCAGAATATTCTGCTATCTGCATAGGAATAGTTTCCAGACTCAGACACGGGAAATAAAACATGCCAGTTGACATAAAAGAGAATTCCTGAAAGAATAAGGAAGGGATTGCATATTTGAGCTATGGTTCAAAGGACTGGGTTATATCCACAGTAAGAGCTGCTTATGCCTTTATATCACTGCAGATCAGTGAATTTTATGAGAAACAAACGACACTTGATCAGAATCAGAGTTTCCAAATTCTTTGCAACTTTGAAGTAAATATTCATCATTAAATTTTTACATCATGATGAAGCCAAGAACTATTATTGTAGTCTCTTTCTAGGTCACAGGGTTTGACAGTCATGTGCAATAAAAATTGATATAATTCAATTAATTTGGGCATATTTACAACAGAAACATAAATCCTGACAATGAAAATAATGTTCTCTCTCATTTTCATTTTCTTAAAAATATTAGCTAATAAACTTGACTAGGCAGGAAGACATGCATACTACTGGCTCGACTCAGTCTTAAGGGTGATTTTCAAATCTTTGAATTAACAAACATATAATTACACAATATTTGCACCAAAGGAGCAACATATTATGAGAAGAGGCATCATGTACCAAGAGTTTCTCCAGAACGTCTGAACATTGCATGTCTCTAGCTCTGTGATGGTCACCTCCAAATCACTAAATTAAAGCTCATTCTCTATGCAGCTAATAATGTGTGATTTATACTTTATTAAAAGTATTCATCAATTTATAGTGGTTTAATGTATTTCTCCTAGTAAACAAGACATACTCAAAGTGATTGTTACACATCTTTCCCTTAACATTGGAAAGGAGCATTTGGCTCTTGTTAGGCCATAAATTTAAAACAATGTATTTAAAGTACAGTATTTCAAAAACCATTTTTAATCACAAATCCCCACTTTACTGCATGTTAACCAATAAATCAGTCTGTTTAAAAACATATTCCAGAATTAAAAGGACAGATTTAATTACCAGAGGTCAAGCTGTGTCCCTCATTCCCTCTAGAAACATAGGAATGAGAGATGACAACAGAAGTGGTGAGTTCACTGTAATACCAGAAATTTATACCAGTGGTCACACATTTAGTGTGGCATTTAGAGATGGCTTTGTGCACACCTACAAATGCTGTAACATGCAGTTTTGATGCAAGTTCCTGTGACAAGCAATATTTTAATTTACCCTAATAAGGAATGTTCACCTATGTTTTGGGTTTTTTAATAGAAACATAGATTTTGGAAAGTACTTTAGAGTTTCTAACTTCTTTTCTTGCAGCAAATTAAAACTATATTGCAAACCCATTTAGTATTAGAAAGCATCTAGTGACAGAATATAGGCAAAGGCAACAGTAGTGTACACATCAAACAATGATTTAGTGATAAAAAATAGGACTTTTCTTTACTTCTGAAGCAAATTGGAACAAAATTAAAATGGAATTGGCACGAACAACTACACAAACAAGTAGTTACCTGCAAAGAACTATAAATATACATAAATAAACCAGAGAAAACTTTAATCCAGTCTTTTTAGTAAGTCATGCAAAGGCAAATGAGTTATAAAATTGACAGTAAATGTTTTTTAATTCAATCTTTGAGTACAATTCTTTTCAGCATAGTTTTCTTTTATAGGAATTCTGTATTTTCATTGAATAGATAATATGCTGCACTACTGACATAATACCTCAGACAGGCTCTAGACTGCAATGATAATAATCCCAGTGTCGATGAGTTTAGGAGCTGAAATCAACCTTTTTTTTTTAATGATACATCATATGAATTTTATTCATATCACATGTGTTTTTGTATAAGAAAGGATGCTATTTGATCATCATTAATGCTTTTCCAACTGTGTATTTGACTTAAGTACATCTTCATGTAATGTTACCCTTTATTGTATGTATTGCAGAAACACCACTGGACTGTGAGGTTTCACAATGGTCTTCATGGGGTCTCTGCAGAGGTGTTTGCAGAGAAACAGGGACCAAGACCAGAACTCGTTTTGTACTTCTTCATCCTGCCAATAATGGAATGCCTTGTCCAAATCTGGACGAAGAAACAGGATGTGAACCAGAAAATTGTGTCTGAAATATGCAAATTATAATAATTTAGCTAATTTAAAAGTAGGATAAATTCAAAGCTAATCTACACATCAGTCAATGTTCTTTACAATCTGGATATGCTGCACAATTTTGCTGAGAAGGTGTATTAGAGTGGTTTTGACAGTTGTTATTTAATATTAAGATGTGAGGGGTTAAATTCCTAAGGTTTAGTATGACAACAGTACTCGATCATTTACGGACCAAAACCCCCCAAATAAATCCTTCCTCCAAATACACTGTAAATTCTTGGAGTACCCTCTAGTGGCAGAAAAGAAGATATTTGGAAAGATTGTACTTCACATACGTAAAAGTCTTTCAGTCACAAAATCTAAACTAATAACCTACTTAAATACTGTAATTTGTTTATCTAGAGCTATTTATACCTAGAAATTAATTTTTTCCTCTAAATTATGTTTTTTATAATTTATTGGCATTTTTGTTGTCTTTCTAACCATGCTTAACACGCATTTCTTCAGAAACTACTTACATAAGTCAGAGTGACCACATGTATGCAGTGTGGTTAAGATAACAGTGGTACTGAGTAAACTTGTCTTGAGACTTATGAGTATATGAAAATGTATTTTTCTTTTTTTTCTCAAAAGTGAGAAGAATAACTGCATGAGAACACTTGGCCAACAAAACTGCTAGAAAAATTAAGAAGTGTGGATACTAGTAGAAAACCTCTGAACTGAATTAAAAGTGTTAGTTGAGATTAAAAAACTGATTGTTGGTGTGTGTCACTCATGAGACAGCTCTCTCAAAGTTAACTCTGTTGACCATCACATAAATTATATCATTACCTTTATATATGCAGTAACTGTCTCCACGTTTCTTTAAATATGTTTGCTGCTATTTGTGTAATCCCAACCTTTTTACAGAGAAAACTTCGCAATTTTTCCTATTATCTGAAATTAAGTTATACACAGCTATAACAAAGCACGACATCCCAGAAACTGGTCCTGACTGCAAATTTTAATGCTCAGATAACTGTTATAAAATGAGTGTAACTTGTGGCTTATGAAGAATTGTGGCTACCAATTAGGAAAAGAATTTTGGAAAAATACTTAATCATAGAATAACTTTTCAGTCAACTCACAAAACTTTTACAGCACACTGCAATATTACAAATATACAGCACAGATACTGAAGAGGAGATTTGATTTCAGTAGATTCTTTTTAGAAACTTTGTCATGTACTTGAAGGAGCACACTGTACACTCCATAGGACTGAAACATTTAAAATGTTCTCTGTATTTGTTTTTCCAGGGCATAAATCTTACAAAGACCCAAATAAATTTGAAACTTTATTAGATTAGACTTAGTTAGTCCTGCAAATGCTGATAAACACACAGTTTTTTAGAGCTAATGTAGGAATTTCTACATCTCTCATTCTTCTGATTCCTACTGCTGCTCATTGTTCAAAATTGTTTCACTTACTCTTTCTATAATACCTTTTTATTTTTCAGGTTCCCCTGTTGCCATTCTATAACAGAAATAGTGTTAGTACACTATATTGAGTTTTGCTAATTGTCAGTATTTTTCTTTATTCTATTCATATTCATTTTAACTCATTCTATGTTTTCTATTAAACTTATTTACTATATATTTGCACAGTTATCATCACATCAGAAAACATAAGCATATATTGAAGTATATATTTAAATATTCTCTAAGGACAGGAACTAATTCCAGATTGATTGATTGTTGAGTGACAAATTTAACTCAATAAAGACTTTGGGCAGATACCAGATGCAAGTCTAAATTATGCTTTAGGGAAAACAAACCCACAAAGCACAAGGTATCCTTGGAGGTCCATTCCTGGAAGTTCTCTAAACACTAGAGTTTTGCCTCTTACGCGCCCAGGACAAATACAGGGCCAGGGTCAGCAGCAAAATATCTGCATTTGCAATTGTATACATGACCTGAATCTGGGAGTGCAGTCCAGCAAGATATGATTTGAGAGTGGAGCAGTCCCAGTGTCTACTCAAACTCTGTAGCCAAAGGTTTCCCCAAGGATGCTGAAGGAGAAAGGATGAGAGGGGAGGTGAAGTAGAAAGGGAAGTGAATATGTAACAAGCCAACACACTTCAGGAAACTTCAGTCACTGATATACAACTTTGATATTTTAGAGTGTGCAGCTTCCTCCAAAGGCAGAAGTTTCCTATCCAGTCAGTTACCTGGATATGAGGTATTCTTGTAAGCTCTGACTTCAGGAGACCTTCATAAATATGCAGTTCTCTTAGGATGCCCTTGTGGATGTATAAAGTTTGGCCATAAATATAGTTCCAGGTATTCTCTTTCCCAGGATAGAGACATTACTTGGCAAGACTGTGGATGCAGTGAGTGAAGCACATTCTAATGATGGAGCACATTCCTCATATCTTTGTTAAACTGATTAGTGAGGTATGTGATCTGCATGGATACTGCTAGAAATTTGTAGCTTTTATTTTTAGCAATCTTGGAATATTCTTAAAAATTTTGGGACTGGGAAGAAACACAGAGAAGCTCTCCCTTCCTTTTCCCTTACATTTAGCATTACAGATGGCTGGCAGCCAAGATGTTGTGGTCCTAAATACATGAGATTTAGGGAAGGAAATAGGAAAATTAATCATGGGTTAAGGTAATCTCAGAAAGCACTTTGAAAGGAAGCTCAAAATGGATTTGTAAAAACAATTTTTTTTCAAGAATGTTTCATAGGAAGAATCTGCTTTGATGCCTTGCAGATATTCTTGCAGAATGGAAGACACAGTTAAAGGTAAGTGTAGCAGCAAAAAAAGTCACCACAGGACTCTGATCCTACGAAAATAATCAACACCAGATTAAATTCCTATAGTGGAATAGGGTGCCACATTACTGACAACTTGTCCATTACCTTAAGGTATTTAAATACAGTTAGCTGTGAACACATGAAAGATTGAAGGATAACTTCTTGAGCCAGGTAATAGACCTACCAGAAGAGAAGTGATATTGGATCTGATGGTCACCAGCGTGAGTTAATGGGGGACTTCAAGACTGGAGGCAAACTGGGTTGCAGTGATCATGCATTGGTGGAATTTGCAGTCCTGAGGGATATGGCTCAGGTAAGGAGTAGTTAGGCCCCTGATCTTCAGGAAAGCAAACTTCCAGCTAATCAAGGATAGTCAATAGGACCCCCTTGGACACGGCCCTCATGGACAAGGGAGCAGAAAAGAGCTGTCAGATCTTTAAGGAAACCTTCCACAGAGTGCAAGAGTTAGCAATCCCCAGGAGCAAGAAATCAGGGTGACATAATTGTGACCTTCCAGAACGTGAAGGGAGCCTACAAGAAATATGGAGAGAGAATGTTTACAAGAGCTTGTAGTAAATGGATAAGTGGGAATGGCTTCCAACTGACAGAGAGTAGGTTTAGGTTACATATTAGGATGAATTTCTATACTGTGAAGGTGGTGAGGCACTGGAACAAGTTGCCCAAAGTAGTTGTGGATGCCACACCCCCAGAAGTGTTTAATGCCAGGCTGGATGGAGCTCAGAGCAACCTGGTCCAATGGTAGGTGTTGCTGACCACAGCAGGGGGTATGAAACTATATGACTTTTAAGGTCCCTTCCAACCCAGTCCATTCTATGATTCTGTGATGACCGGAATGAATGCCCAGATTGTGTGCGAAGTAAACATAATAACAGCAGTTTGAGGCCCTGTTCCATTTTTCTAAGTAAATATGCCTTCCCACAATTGAGGGCCAACTCTACACTACATAATTGCAGTGTATAAGAGGGTCAACTCTAACTGACCAAATCTTGTCCACCAAACCTGCTACGAAATGTTGCAGGCAATTGTCAAAATGGCACAATGCTGTAAAGATAATTTGGGGAAGGGACAGGCTTGAATTCATCAAAAAATAGTTCTAATGCCCAAACTACACTAGGTTCAGCTTGGTCATGGAAACTAATGTGTGCCTAACTACTGGAGGGGGAGGGAAAGTGTATGCCAGCCTTTCTGAACACTGAATAAGCACTGTCCTCAGCAGGTCATAACTAGTGTGCAAAAAAAGGTCCGAGAGTACCTGATGGTATTCAAGGCAAAAAGGTCCACTTCATTATATTCCCAGTCCCAGGTAACTGAAGTACATTGGGAATGTCTGATCAGTCATGAACAATCCAACATAATGAAGTAACTCAGATTATTCCATGACAATATTTAACACGTTCAAGAAATAAATCTAACACTGGATAGAGCAATTCTGAAGTCAGCCAGATCCTGTTCAATGGGATGTTGTATGCAGAAGTTGTCTACATGACAACTTACAGGTACTGTGAATGCCTGATACAAAAAGATTCTCGATATGCTGCATTACAACTTGATTACCTGGAAGTTCAATAAGCTAAAAGGATGCTTGCTTAAGTAGCTCACAATCTATAATTCTTGCAGGTATAAGTACGGCATGAGAATTTATGCAGGTGCATGACAGTCAAGACCTCCTGTGATGGAGGGGTAAAAGTCCAATTAAATGATGAGACTCTATTTAAATTATTTCTGATGGATAAATGCTAAAGTAGTAATGGAGTCCTAATATCACCCTTGAGACTCCTAAAGATTCAACGACCATGAGATGCAATTTTTATTCCTCTATCCTTAACCATATGGAGTCAAAGAAGTAATGTTTAATGTTTATGGAATCACTTCTCATCTGATAATCCATCTATCAGTATAGGGATGTTGTATTTTGTTGGAGGCAAGCTAAAACTTCAGCTAGAATTTATGTGAAGATAATTCATGGTGTGAAATGGACTGAACCCATGATGGTCATAAGCCTTTGCCAGTGTTAGACAATGACATTCTTTTATTGAGACTTCCTAAACAGCAGATGCAATGAAGGACAATAAACGTGAATCAGTCCTTTTTTCTGCAGATGTGACACAATCCAGTAACAGTTACCATCCTGAAATTTTTATTTAGGTTACAGATGTTGAAGATGAGTTGCTGTCCACCCTTTTTCTTTGACACTAGGAAAATACATGTCCTCGTGCTACGATGGAGTGAATTTTACAGCTACTAGCGCTAGCACAATGCATCTCCTGCCAAAGCAGATTCTCAGAAGTGCTGCTCAGAAATGAATAGGAAGAGCAGTGTCATTTTATTTATTAGTGTAGGTGTAACTAAACAACAATAAATGCGATTGGGACATTTTATGAGGTAATTGAATAAAAAATACAGAGAAGGCACTGGAAAATATGAGAAAAGGGCTAGTCATGATCCTCTGGTGTGTGCATAGTGTTGAGGATGCAACTTATGCAACTGAGCATTTGACAGTGATATAAAAGCAAAATGCAAAATAAAATACATCTTCTACCTTTTTAAGCAAAATAAATGTTTGCAAAATTCTATCAAGGATATGGAGTTTTCCTGTACAACATATATGGCCTGTGTGTGTGCAGCAGAGGTAGCTCACATCCCATACCCTGAAGTCAAGGTGACAAAACTCTGAAGTCGACCTAGAAGTTCATCAAAGACACATTCAAGGGCAACACTGAAGTACTTCACCTCCAAATGCCAGGTGCTGCTGAGGAACATGACAGGGTTGGACAGAGTCAGTGACCAAACTACAGAGCCTTCAGCATGGCCTGTGTGTGTGCAGCAGAGGTAGCTCACATCCCATACCCTGAAGTCAAGGTGACAAAACTCTGAAGTCGACCTAGAAGTTCATCAAAGACACATTCAAGGGCAACACTGAAGTACTTCACCTCCAAATGCCAGGTGCTGCTGAGGAACATGACAGGGTTGGACAGAGTCAGTGACCAAACTACAGAGCCTTCAGCACAGCAACTGAAAGATGGGTTCTCCCTTCTGGAAATGATCCCACTGGTGGGCCCTCCCTGCTGGAAAATGACCAAATATCCTCTGACATTGTGGCTAACATTTCAGACAGAATGATCTCCCTCTATAGGACAAGGAACACTTGAGTGATAGATGAGTTTGTAATCAGACCTACAAATCAGTCTATATATTAGTACAAAAGCTAAAAATAAAAATCTCAATCATTGTCTGATTTACACTGTAACTTTCTTTAGAGAACTTACTAGGCAGTATCTAAGAAATATATATTCTAAGAAATATCATATTCATTAATGTTTCAGAATCTTTTATCATTCTTTTGACTTCTTTATATTTTTTCCAGACCTTTTGTGTAGTCCCTCTGGGTTTTGTAGAGGTGCACACATATGTCCAATGAGTTAGGATGGAAACTACAAGATTCCTTAATAAAAAAGTAGTGAAGCTCTGAAATAATCATCCAGAATAAATGGGAAATATAACTTAATAACTTCATTTAAGTTGAAAATTGAGCATTTTATGGAAAGAGATAGCCAATGTGGTTGCTTACAGTAATCTAGGGAACTGATCTCAAGTACCTGAGAGGTCCTTTCAGTTTCATGTTCATCTAAGTGTATAAAAGAACATTTTAATCTAGATGCTGGGAAAGAAGAAAGATTTTACAAGGTGTCTTTTTCATGTTATCTCATTCTGCAGAACATACTGTAGTTATTTATAAAAGTGTAACCACCAGCTGCCTTTTCTCACAGTTTTTTTTCCTCTCTCAAAAATACCCTGATAAGCAGCAAACAAGGAACACCACAGGACTACGTGCATTTGTATGTAACTATTTATCTTCAAAAACACTATAGCAAGGATACAGAAAAAAACATGAAAAGCCAATTAATAGGATTTCTTATGAACTTTTGGATTTCTTTTTCGCTTGCTTTGTATTTTCACGCTGGAGAAAGAGAAGAGAAATGTATAATTGAAGATATTCCCACTGACACGTTGGTAGTTGGTATGTACCTGGCAATGCTATATGATGATCTAACCTATGCAATAATTAAGATAACTTGTAATGTAACAAGAAAGTCTGTGATTGATGAATATGCTAAAACATTAGTACTAAGAAAAAAGTCAGACTGAAATAACTCCTAGCAGCAGGGACTAGACATAAAGTCCTCACACACTGTGTGTATCCATCACACAGAGGAATGCAGGTTTTCAGAGTGCTTTACTAACTAAACAAAGAAAAACAACGTCCTTTAATTCTACAGCTGTGGAACTGCTGCTTCCATGTGTGCTTCTATGCATTCTAACTGACGTACTCATGCATAGCAGAATTTCTCGTACATGGTTTTCTCCATATGAGAGTCACTTTTGTGATTAATGGTGAAACAATTCAAGATGTACTAAAGTTTCATTTCACCTGGGATATCATAAGCACACTAAATTCATCTACAAGACTGTAAATGTAAGATTTCAATAGTAAAAACCAATACAGAGTAATTTTTTTTAAATAAATGATGTGATCAATATGAAAGACAATCAGGAAAATGTAATTTGAATGCAGCACATTATGCTTTTGGAGGTCTCAGCATGCCTTCTGGAGGCTAATCTTGCCAGAGCATTAGGAGTAATCAGAAAGTATTTCTTGTTAATTGACCATTTTTTGGTAGTACTCTAGAATATTTTCTGGTGTAGTAAAAATTTATTGCATTCACACAGTTATAAAGTTCCCCTGAGCAGTTTTAACCATAAACACATGAAATACATTTTTTTTTAATTGTTAATCATTTATCTTTAGATTTTTTTCCAGAAAAAAGCCATGAAAATGTTTCATGTTATGTTTTATCTAACAGTTTTATCTATATTTTTATTCAGGGAATTACAAAGTACAACGTTGGGATATTCATACACATGAATTTCTTGAATCTGCTCCTGGTTTGGGAATGTTTGTGACTGTCTCAGCTCCTACTGGTGAGGTAAATATGCTTTAGGAATGTTTCTGTAGGATTTATGAGTTAACTTCTGGCATTGGCAGGCAGCCCTATCTAAAAATAAATGACAGTTCTGGGGGAAAAGTAAATCTACAGTCTATCAGCTAGTTCAGATGCTGAAAGATAAATGAACCTTTTGATTTCTGTCAAAGTAAACAGAATCGAAGTTTGATAATTATGCGTGTGGACAATTTTTGCAATACTACCAGATTTGGGAAAGAAAATCCACCAATGAAGTAAACCAGTACAAAATGTACTTGAGCAGCAGAAAGAAAGGCTGATGATAAGCAAAACTGTGACAGTTAAGATCACAACGAGGCTGTACATAGCCCTCATACAGAGCAGCTGATTGTGTTGCCATGAGATCCTGAGCTTTTTCACCACTGAACAATTTATTTCTGTGTCTAAAGAAGGTCTTAGTTTTCCAGCTTTGTATGCTTCAGAGAGCCATTGCAGAATTCTATAACATTTCAATGTTCACTATGAGCTAAAATTGTTTACTGTTCTCTAAATCTGTTCTGAAATTCAGAGAAATTTCATGGTGCTGGAGGTTAATTGATTCCTTTTTTGCATCCAATTCAAGGTACTGTTTTTTAATTGTTTTATTGGTATTTATAATTTACAAACCCAACATATATAATATCTAAATTGCAGGTACTATTGTCAAAACTGTATGGGCCACAAGCAACATTTTCTTTTACATCCTATCTCTCTGGGGAGCATATTATCTGTTTCCAGTCTAACTCCACAAGATTTTTGGCAATTGGAGGAAACAAACTGGTAGGTGTATTTCTCAAACATTCTTTGTTGTAGCAGTATTGTTTACAAACTGCAGAGATTATAAACTAGATTAGAAGTTGGCCTAACTTCTAGCAGATAATTCAATGTTTCCTATTGATTAAAGAAGACAAACCCAGCATTATGTAATGAAGCAATAAAGACTCTGTTCTCATAGTGAAGAAGTCAGCATTCAAGAGGCAACACTAGTAACAATAGAGGGACCTAATGTTTGTACTATGCTTTGAATGTGAAAGATTCTGATCAATAAGAACAACTAATTTGGTTCAAAAAGACCAATATGTAAGAGTGACTAATACAAACACTTGTCATAAAGATATTCCACGTCTTCACTAACTTAGATTGAATTTCTAATGAAAATTCAATATTTCACTTCTTGAAAAATATTCAAATTGAAAATATATTAGCATAATTGTTATTGTCTACTATCAACAAAGTTAGTCTTAATGCAGATTTGGGGCAAGAGGGGGAAGCCATCACGGGTGATATCATGACTCTAATTTATCTCAGCAAATTTATGATTACTGTGAAAATGTTATCTATATGTCTCTTCCCAAGAGACAGTTGAACAGGTGAGAATTACTCTCAGAGGGATGGGGTTTGTTTTTTTTTCCAGTTGTCTGCAAAAGAGTTAGATAACCAGCTAAATATACACTTCACATAAATGTGTTGAGGTAGACCAAATTTCATCCTAGGTGTGTACTTTGGGAACATGTAGATGACACAGAACTGACAAGAGTTAATAGTACTGAAGTGGGATTATTATATTGGAATAGCTAAGTGTTCTTATGGACTGATAGATAGAGTGAATGGAAATTTAATCATACATACTGCAAAGGCACTTAGGTACTAATAATAAAAAAAAATTGTGGATCTTATCAACTAGAGAGGGTCAGGGGCATAAAGCCTTGGTTGGTCATAGTTAACTACACACCATGAATGTGATTCTGAATATGCAGGTGATTTTTATCGGATATAGATGGATCTGTATTAATATAGTTTTACATGATGAATGTACCATGTTGAGTTCTGATCATCCTATTAAAAAGAAGTGAACAGATGCAGGGAAGGGGAATGTGAATATCACAAATATTAAATAAGATGGTCTGTTTAGCTTGAGAACACAGCAAGAGAAAGGAAAATATTGTTCTTTATAATTATAGGAATAAAGATGGCAAAATGAAAACCATTATTAAGCTAGGTTAAATCTTTAAGCGGTATTCTGTAAGATCCAGATGATTATATGAATTCCTTTAAACCAAAATAAATAAATTAATTGGCTATAAAGTTGTGAGGTGGATTTCCAGCTACAGAGTTAGCTAACTCCAGGTCAGCTGGAAGAAGATATGTTCTTCATTTGTGGTTGATAACTGAGTAGACCTAACTTCTAATATGGTAATATCAAATTTTAGCTTTTTGCAGATTATCTGTTTGGTTAAAGCCTTTTTATTTTCTCTTGGGTACAGATTGGCTTCTAAGAGAAGTTTCTCCTGTTAGTTTTAGTAAAATTTTTCATTCATGCCAAAATAAGTTGCATAATATTATAAGGTCTGTTCTTCTCTCTTCTTTTTATGGTTCTGTTACTTGGCTGGTTTGAGGCATTTTTGCTATAGGTCATACAATAGCTTAGAGGATACTGGGAGATATTTCATACTGGAAAAATAGTGCAGAAAAAGAAGAAGTTACCTGACAGATGGTTCTGCTTTAATACCCATGCTAAACTGCAAATAGTGATTCAGCTTGGTCTCCTTCCAGTCTTACAGTACTAGCAGTTACGTGAGGAAACACAGAAGTTCATATATAAAAAGCTTCCTGCAATACTACTGATGAATGTAATTTCTGCAGTATTGGGCTGGAATGTGAAATATAATCACCAGTTCTAATGGTGCTTATTTTTTTTACTACTTTGGATAAAGAAAACATTTTCATGGTGGTTGAATCAATATTAGCATAAAATAATACCCTAAGATTAGTGCAGATTGTAAATTTTTATAACTACTTTAAAAATAGGATTAAGAAACACTTTAAATTTCCTACCCGATTCTAATTTTAGGAAGGCTTTGTATAAGCAATTAAAACTAATTTCCTGTAATGAGCTTAAAGGGAAGTTATCCATTGTTTCATTTGTTTCTAAGGAATTTTGTAAAAGCAGAAGACACAGTAATGAGAATAGTTTTTCTGTTTGCAGCGTATCCATTTGGACATTAGAGTTGGAGAACATTTTTTTGATGAATCTGCTGCTCATGCCAAAGACAAAGTGAATGAAGTTAATGTCAGACTAGAACATCTAATTGAGCAAATTCATCATGTATCCAAAGAACAAGACTATGAAAGAGTATGTATGTTCCCTAATGGAAATGTTAAAAATATTGTACATAGGCTTATTGATTTATAAAGTATTAAGAGGTTTATTATTCAATTGCAATGTTATTTTTTACTAAGTCATAAAAATCTATTGGTATTTAAACAAAATAGTCTCTATTACTTTGCAAAGTATTTTTAGGCAGTAATATAAAACTAATTAATCCCTGCCAACTCATGCTTATAGCAACAGGTGTTATTTTATAGCAGCAGGTGTTGTTTTAAAGCAGGATTTTCCAAAGAGAGTTTTCTTGGTCAAAGTCAGTCACAGCAGCTAGCAGGTGGTAGGTACCGCTGTGGGTGATGTTGCCAGCTGTTGTTTCCATGCTGCTCTGTGTGCATAAACTTTATTGGAGAGGGTAAGGAAATGACTAAATATATATTTATGTATTTCCACGTAGTTAGAAATAAAGCTTCCTTCAAGCAAGGGTACACCCGTTCTTTTTACATTTCTCTACATACACAGGCAGTCAGACATTGTTTGAAATATATTGACTAGTCACCTAAAAATAGAAATTTGGCTGCAAACAGGTTCTTAACAGTAATATGGAAGTGACCGTAAACCTAAAAAGGTTAAAGCCTGTACTAATGGAACATATTTAGCACCATATATCTTTTGGGAACAAGGGAAGCTCTGTTTACCTTTCTGCTTCAGGATACAGTGTGTCTGCTTCTCAGTTTTGATTTGTAAAGATACACACTTTATGGGTAAGTACAAACTTTCATTTTTATCAACATGAAACAAGTGTTTGTTCACTATTATGCAGAAGAGGGATGTCTAGTTACCTGGAGAGCAGCATGAAACACAGATGCCAGAAAGGTATTAATTATGCTTTTTCTTTATTCTTTAGGAGCGTGAAGAAAAATTTCGGAAGACAAGTGAAGAAACAAACAGCAATATTTTGTGGTGGGCTATAGCACAAACACTAATCCTCATCTCTGTTGGAATATGGCAAATCAAATCTCTCAGAGATTTCTTTATATCTAAGAAGCTTGTTTAAATCTTATAAAGTAAACGCATAGATTCAAAAATTACACACCATGTAACACTGAACATTCAAAGAAACCCTGCACCTATGAGAAAATTGGTTGTGTATAACTCTCAAGCTTCTCCCATGTTCTACTCTGATTCTAACTCTGGTTTCTCCATCTATGTCACAACCTCTGGCATCCCCTTATGTTTTACTCCTTGAATCCCATCTTTTATCCCCTCTACAGATGTAAAGCTAAATGTAGAAGAAAGACTCAGTGACTAAGGCAGCATGTAAGTTCAGTCCAGGATTGTTAAATCTAAAGTAGAAATTTTAAAAAATATTTGCTAACATTATCAATTTCTCTACTTGCTCAGTAATCTTATTTGGTACTACCATGAACAGTTCAACATTGCAGACTGCCTATGATTCAGACAGAAGGCAGAGAAATTACTACATCCCCTGTGGTGCATAATTTGGTGAGAGCATCTTGAACTCAATCTATATATGTATAACACCTACATATAATTGTGACTGCTTTCTTTTAAAATATTCAAAGTTTGAACTGATTGGTAGCAGCAGCAATTATCATGGAAGCAAGAGACAGAGACAAGCAATTTGAAATTGTACTTACTTTTCACTTCCAGATAAGTCCTAAACATTCTGGTATAGAATAGCGATCAGACCTCTCCCATAGTAGCTTAAGTAAATTATAGTCTTTATGAAGTATGTCAAAGCAACCCAAATTACAGGTTTCTTGGTAAGCAATGCCTATATATTTTATTTTAATTCATTCCTGCACTGATTTCTTCAGTCTGTTTCTGTGTTGAGAGTTATTATTATTTTAGTTATTCAGCAACAGTAACATGACAGTCTGAGGAACTTGCCTGTTTTTGACTTAATTTTCCATTTCACTTATCCCAGCTTGGTTGCATGTATCTTTAGGCCTTAATTTAGCTAGTTTATGTACAACTAGCAGTGTAACTACAGTATCATACAATGACAAGTCAAAAGCTGTGGTTAAAAAATCCAGATAATTAGCTTGACAAAGCAGCAGTAATGTAAGGAGTTGGAGGTGGTTACATATAAAGACCTGAAGTATCTAGAGCAGTGTGATAGCAGAACATTGTGGTTTGGCTTCATACTTGCCTTTCCAGACCCTTTGCTAGTCTAAAAAGTAGTGAAAGCTGAAATATCTGTAGACCAATTACTGTTTTAAAGGTACTGCTTTCTTTCTTATTTTCTATCTTCTCACTTGTTGTTTTCATTAGCAAGGAAATGACATTGCCCTTTAAGTTCACTTACATTTCCAGTATGGGAATGAAAATACACCTGTATGTGAGAATCCATAAAACTGATACCAAGAAGAGCCCAAAAGCAATGCTCTACAGACCAAATCAATCACAATAAAGTCTCATAAAGCTACTGACTGTGGTGTGTCCTATACTTAAAAAGTTCTGACTTTAGAGTTGTCACTTGGAATGACCAGTAAATAAGTGTTATTAAATTTACTTTTACAGAGCACTCACTCACAACATGTCTTGCAATAACACCTTTTGTGGCAGGAAAGAAGGAAATATGTGTTACAACCATATGGTATATGAAGTCCAAGAAGAAAGTTTAATAAAGTGTTGCTACGAGGTTGTGGTTCAGACTTTACCTGATATTTAGTGTAAGGCTCCTAACTACATTGTGATGACAAACTTAACTCATCCCACTTACAATACACATTTCAGCCAGCACAGGCACAACGTCAGAGTTTACAAAGGAGCTGATTATGTTCCGCAAATTAATTAGGTCTATACTCAAACTAGCATTGAGACTTGGAGCCTTTAATCTAGCTAGAGAGTGCTTGATTCTAGATCTGTAATACTAAGAATAAACCATCTTCGCTTTGATGAAACATTTTCAGTCTCCTTCAAGACTTTTCATTAACTCCATAAAGCAGAAGCTGAACCACAGCTCTTTTGGGAAGCACTTTGGGGACAGGAGCCTTGATGAAGTGAAAAGCCAGAGGTTTCTCCCCTATAGTTTGTGGCTCTGTCACACCCAGGGCTAACAACCTGCACTGCAGCTAGGTCTGTGGGGAATGTTATCCTGAAATTTTCATCAAGGGAAAGTAGCAAACTATGGTTTGGGGTTTGGGGCCTTTGTTTTTGTTTTGTTGGGGTTTTTGTTTGTTTGGGATTTTTTTTTGTTGAAGTTTTGTTTTGTTTGGCGTTTTTTGTTTGTTTGTGGTTGGGGTTTTTTGTGTGTTTTTTTTTTTTTTCCCCGTTGGTTTTTTTTTTTTGTGTTTGTTTTGTTGTGGTTTGGTTTTGTTTCGGTTTTGGTTTGGTTTTTATGTGGGAGGGGGTGGTGTCTAAGAAATTAAACTCCTTGTTTTACACATTTTTTTTTCTTCACCAAACCATGCCACAACAAACCCGTGGCTGAGATTTGGTGTGGGTGTTTTGTTTTTTTTTTTTTCCCCGTTGGTTTTTTTTTTTTGTGTTTTTTTTGTTGTGGTTTGGTTTTGTTTCGGTTTTGTTTTGGTTTTTATGTGGGAGGGGGTGGTGTCTAAGAAATTAAACTCCTTGTTTTACACATTTTTTTTTCTTCACCAAACCATGCCACAACAAACCCGTGGCTGAGATTTAATAACCTTCCTGCCTTGCTGCATTTATCAGGGTGAACTCCACACCCGTCGCGGCCGCAGATGTGACTCCTCAGGAGGAGGACGCGGCTCCTGCCGAGCTCTCTACCCGGAGCCTTGGGCCAGTTCAGCTCCACACGTTTGGGGAAGGCAGGGGAAACCCTCAGAGACTCTCCCAGCGCGGGCACTGCTCCAGGGAGGACAAACCCACAATTTTGGGGATGTGAGGGTGGAACAGCGCTGCCCGCTCGCCTCAGCGCGGGGCTCTGCAGGCTCCGGCCCGGGGCAGTGCCGCGTCTGCCTCAGCCTCCCCTCCCTCCCCATGGCTCTGCCGGTTTTCTGCAACTCGTGCTTCAGCCAGCCCCGCAAGCCCAGCCCGAGGTTCAGCCTCACGAGCTGCGGCCACGTCCTCTGCGAGCTGTGCCTCCAGAAAGGTGATGCTGCTTGGGGCGCCTAACACGCTCCCTGAGCCATTGCTGCTCAGGGCTGTGTCTTTTTTTTTTTTTAGCACAACGAGTCAGTCCCTGACTGTTTTGGTTTTGGTCCCAGGGACTGACTCGTTGTGCTAAAAAAAAAAGACACAGCCCTGAGCATTTCTTCACGATTGCTATTGATAAACCTCTTCAGGCCTTGCTGCTGATTTCCTTTAAAATGCAAAGCCCACTTGTGCTCCTCTCCAGGTGAATGTGGCTTTGAGGTCAAGCCTTGAGCACAGGGAACTGAGTAAAACTGGATTCTGGATGCTTATCATCCGTACAGCTGTTTGAAAAAAAATCAGAGATGCTCTGGCTAATTTGGGAAAGGGTAGGCTTTCTCATTAGCACCAGGGCAGTTCGTAAAGTGCAGGGTTTTGTTTAGGGCAGGTTTTGCAAAGGAGGTTTTGAGGCTCAGTGTTGTTACTGCAGATGTTCAGCAGCGTGAGGAGGATTGGGGATGTTTTGAAGCTCTTGTGTTGTGTACAGGTTCTGAGTCATATTCCAGGTCTCCTGTGATGTGCTCAAACAAAGATCTGTGGAAAACACAGAAGAGTAAAGAAGTTGTTTATCAGAATTGAAAAACAGCAGACAAATATCACTGGTTTTCCCTTTGAGATTATGCTAAATGTCCTGGGGTTTTTTTTGTAAGGGCACACAGAAGAAATGATCAATCTGTATTTCAGAATTAAAAACATCTGACTAGAAGTTATCACAGGGTTGCAGCCTCTAAATGCAGCTTGCAGGGTCCTAGAACCTCAACATCATTCCTTTCTCCTCTTAATATTGTCTGGCAGAAAAATGCCTGAGAGATTATATATCTTTTTGCTGTGAATTCAATAATAATGATAGTATCAGGTTTAAAATGTATTTGCTCTTTGAAGATAAGAACAATATTTATAAACATTGATCATTAGAGTCCTTAGAAAGCAAGTTGCAAGTAGAATTATCAATAATAGATATTGTAATAACATGCATTTGCTAGAAATGTTTTATAATATGTTTGCGGATGATCAAAGAGACATTTAAAAAAAATACAGAGTTTTTAAAAGTGATTTTATAAGTTTTTCACTGGAAGAATTCACAAGGTAAAATTATTAATTCTTTGAAGTTAAGGTTTCATGTATTTTATTGAGAGAGCCAGACTGGGCCCAAGTCTAAAAAGCAATATATCTGCTAGACTGTAAGTCATTAGTGCACTTAAGCATACATTTAATTAAACCAGGCAAGTAATCCTATGTAAATCAACGGAACGAAAAGTCACCTGCATTCTGTGACACTAATGATATTCACAAAATCATTTACATGAATGCTTATTTGCAGAAGTAAGACCTGATGACATTCACACACATTTTCCCTGTGCAACTGTGTGTAATGTTATAGAATCAAATGCTTTATTCATGTTTATTTACATTTCTTGCGTAACCTGCAGGTTTCTTCCACAAGCTCCAAACAAATGTTTAGGCATCAAATTCTATTTACAGTTTATTCAATGTTTGTTCAGTTTGATGTATACTTTAAATGTGTCTTTACCTTACAGGCAAAAAAGATGAATGTTTGATCTGCAGAACTCCTTGTCGTATGTTAGTCCTTTCTAAACAGGTAAATGAAGCTTTAGCATTGTTGTATTACATTAGTTTGTGGTTTGCTTAACAGTTAAATTATTTGCATTACAAAATGCTTCCTTTTTTCTTTTTTTTTGGCCAACTGTGACCTGAGTATTTACTGATGATAGGTTGCTGGACTTAGATACTTATGCACTGGACAGTTTTTACTTGTATATATTCCCTCAAATTAAAGCCTACAGAGACCTTTTAGGCTTTCAGGTGCTGCTGGTCTGTGAATGATTCTAAACTTTTCAAGAAATGTGACTGGCTACTGTGTAACCAGCAGTGACTACTTTCAAAATGTGGAGAAATGTATATTGATTTTGGCATTTGTGCATCAGGGAAAATGGACTGTAATGAATTCTTTCAGGTAATGGACTGAGTTGAATATCTGCATGGTGGTGCAGCAATGATTTCAAGTGTGTTAGGTTTTTTCCTCTATTTTCTTGAAAGCTTAACTGGTTTCCTCATGGCTGTATGATTGAGAGGATCCAAAATATTGCTGGGAAGTTTTGTTGCTCACTAGAGAATTAGGAGTTTTTAATTCCCTTCCTTGATAAATCACTAGAAACACTCAATTTTCCCATTTCTCCCAGGAATCATCTTTTCCCTAGCTGATTTCATAAATAGCTTGTGAAAATATATTTTCCTAGACTGATGCCTACCTAAGAGACAATGCATGACTTACAAGGATAGAAGAAAAACACTAACAACAATAAACATTCAATACAGCTAGGACATAAAATCCTCCTAGACTATAAGGTGGTCATGAGTAGGAAATGGAGGAGAGTTTGGGACTAACCCTGAAGAGGTGACCTTGAAGAAGGCCATTATTTCTCTAGCTGTGTTTAAAACTGAGCTGATGTATAACTAAATACAGAAGTCTCTACCCCTGTAGATACTGTATATAAAAAAAAGTAAAAAACTGTAATGCTGTATTTTGTATTTGTCAACACAGAATCTTGCAGAACTGAATCAGGGTGAAGGAGACACTGCTACCAAAAATACAGAAATACAGCAAAAGAGCAAAATGCAACCATGATACGAAGGGACAGTGCACACAGTAATAAAAAAAAAAAAGTATGAAAGACTCTCATAAAAATTCTAAAGGGCATATTTGAATATGCTTTCAATATCAAGCTACCCTTGTTGCAAATTTTGGTATTAATTTCAGTCAAAGAATAATTTAAATTACCAGGGACCTCTGGAGGTCATCTTGTCCAACCCCTTGCTCAAAACAAAGCTCATTTTGTAGTCTTAAATTGCAGTATTTGAACAGAACTTGATAATTTACTTCAAAATACCAAAGGAATTTAGAAATGCAGTGATTGGGATACTAACAAAAATATTAAATGTTTCATTAGAACCTGACACTGCTCCAGAGGACTGGAAGGAAGCAAATTACCATATTCTTTAAAAAAGACATTAATGATGATTGCTTACCCTTGATTAAGAACAGATAAAATGATTGGAATGATAATTAAAGATGCATATAAAAAAGTCATGGCTCTATAATTCAGGAACCTGAGTGGAAATATACCTGGTAAGGTTTATGAGCTTGATGCTATGGAAGAATTCCCAATGAGGAGGAGGTCCTATAAATGTGTTAAAACTCCTAATTAAATTGTATGTTGGGGCAATCAACATCTACACATTAAATATTCTCGTCTGTACAGTAATGCATTCTTGTCACCTTTATATCTTCCTTCTTCCTTCATGATCCCCACTCACTTTTCCCCAGAGGATGGTTAAGTGTTATGATAAATCAGAATCTCGCTGTTCATTATTTCAGAATATCATATTAACATCTGCTACTCCTCCATGCAACAGATAAAATATAAACTGTTATACAAACCTTTATTTTAAAGAGTTTTTATGTCAGCATGAAGCTGGTTGGGGTGTATTTTATTCAGATCTGATAGGTACTTAAACCAAGGTCATTGCTTTGATAGAACCTTAAATAGCTTGCAACAGCTTGGTTCTTATGAAAGATGCCAAATGTATTTTTATGAGTATATTAATTTTTCTAGATAAAATGTTATTGTTTTATTTGTATTTTCTCTACTTAAATACCATAGCTAGGTTAGACTGTGCTATCTGTCTGTCTGCTTTTCCTTTTCTCCATCTGTCAATTCACCCCATGGAAATTTTTGCATGCTTTGGCTGATGTCAAGCAAATTCAAAATATTAGAGGAAGTTTCAAAGATAATTAATTACCTCCTGTGAGTTCTATAAAAATTAGTAACTGGGGAAAGCAAGAAAAAGCAGTTTTCCTTGCTTTTCCCTGGTGAGAGGAATGCAAGCACAGCTCATCAATAATCAGTAGTGTATTTGTCAGCTGCATGCACAGTTTGACAGTGAGCAAACAGTGCAAGGCCATCAGGCAAATTGCTGTACAGGACATCAAAGGAGCTGAGGTCAGAATATGGGGAACAGAAGAAACAAATCTATTGCAAATCTGGGTTATTAATTTAGCACCTCACATCATTATTTTTCATACGTAAGAGACTCAATTTCCGATTCTTATTAAAAAGATATAATTTAAGCACATGTAGAAAATAGGTTTGGCAAATGCAACTGTTGTTTAGACTTGGCTCTTTGACTTTATACTAGTATTTGTCATTTTTGACCTAGGTAAAATGATTGTCTCTCTAGCAGTTTGGGCATTTCCAAATGGAGCAAGGCCTAGCTCTTTGATTTCAATGCAGTGTTTTTATTTTAAGTGATTCCAGTTGTCTCTCTTGTTTCTTAGTATTCCAGAAAACTTGTGCCTCATTCACAGGTGGCCTAGTTCTTATTTCTCTCAGTAATTCACCTTTTTAATTTTATTTTTTTTTCTTTATTACTTCTGGGATTAATTTACATTTTGCCTGCAACATTTTGAGTTCTTTTTGATTGGATTTTGAAAGGTGGTTCCTTACATGAAGGATGCCTTTTCTCTGGGACAACCTTCATTTATCATCTAAGTGTGCTGGCATTATTTTTGCTTTTTAATTCAGTTTTTCACAAGTTGTAAACCTTCTATTATGCAATCACAGTACATCAAAGAGAACCTTTCTGTTTACAGGTAGATTTCTTTTTCCCAAAATTCATTATTTTTGAAAGCTGATTAACTATTTTAGCTTAGCTCTCTAACTAGTGTAACTATTTTAGGGTCATATTTTCTTTGCTTTTCTTATTCATAAATTAGGAATACATTTATACTGTGTTAAAGTAAAAAGTTATGTACACTGCTTTGTAGATTTGGATAGATGACCAAATGTCACTATCACCCTGAGATTCACTGTATGCTCACCATAAATAATAAA